CATTTTTTTTCTTTTCCAAAACGTTTAAAGCTTTATTTTCACTACAAAACTGTTCCTGAAACAATTTCCAACCAAACAAACTATCAGATACCGATCTTTTTCAACTTTTTGAATAAATACACTTTAATTCACACAATGTAAACAACAGAAAAAAAGCTTCTTTGATTTCTTCCTCCAGATCCATGGTCTAGTTGGTCTAAAATTGGGCAGTATCCCACTGCAGCGTGAAATTTAATCACTCCCTTGATTGAATTAGACTCAATTACATCTGGATAGAAATGAAACACTGTGAAATTAGGCAGTTAAACCATATATTGACAGTGTAACACTGCCATTCACCGCTATCTAAAGGTTTATGGCTTGAGGTACAACTCCCTTAAAAGATTCAGCTCCCTTTGTTATGCCTATGATTGTGACGGGGACGGGGTGGAATTGTAGGGCCCTTCAAGGCCATCAACGAAGGACTATAGAAAAGGGGATGATTTTGAAGGGACATCTCGTATGATTTCAACCATAAAATGTTACTGTTAGTGTTATAAAAAATGGAAAGGAACTGTGTATTCACGTATACAGGAGTTTTGCAATAACCTGTAGAAAAGTGATATCTCAATGTATTCAAATCATTCAGATAAGTTTGTAAGAATTGCTATCTCTCCCCAGTTCATCATGAAATGATTGGAATAGAAAATGTCTGTAAGACATGAATACCTTTGTCACCGTGTAAAATTAGATGCAGTGTTTGATGTTCTATAAATACTTACAACCACTTTTGACTTTGATCACAGGAGGGATGGACATATGGGCAACACTATATGCCCCCCATTTTATGGGGGGGGGGGGGGGAGGGCATAAAAGGGGGTTGCATCTATTTATTTTGTCTTGTACACTGAACTAAAAGGATGTCCCTTTCTTTCTATTTTCGCTTTTGTTATACCAGTGTTAGAGGTAAGGAAGGGCTGGATGAATTAGAGAAAGGGGATACAAATGGTGGAGAAGGAGAAGAGAAGGCCTGGACGGTTTGGGATGGAGGGGAGTTAAGAACGGGGGTGAACAAGATGTTTGGAAAGGGTGGAGGAGGGACAGGATGAGTTAGGAAAGGGTTTGGATAAGTTGGCTTTTGACTTTTGACGTGGACTAGTAGACAGGGATAGAAATCTTCATCCCTATACCCCAGCTCCAATATTTATCTGCAGTCCTGGGAATCGGTATCTTTAACCAAGTCACAGTATTCAAAGTCATAGAAGGGATGGGTGAAGTGTATGGGGAGTGTGTTACTTTTCAACAAGAGTATTCATTGTGACATATAGAAAGGAGAAGGGGGGAGGGGTAGATGGGAGGAAGTGAAAGTATCCCTCAGTATCTGATATAGGAGAAAGGCAGCGAGCCCCCATACCTTATTTCAACAATTCTATATTCTTTAATGTAGAAATATGCATATTTTCTTCCTGAAAAAATCATGTGTTGATCATGAAACTGCAACTGCTTGCCCTTGTCTAAGGTCACAGTGACTTTGCATTAGCGTGCGACTTCCTATGAATGTACATTTTAAATTTCATTCCTTATGGCATCAGAATGAGGAAAATTAGATATCATGTTGTAGCTATAGCCCATTGTCACTAAAATTACAATAATTAATCTTATAAGTGTTGCCTGACACAAATATAACCTCCATGTTTACCATTATTTGACCTTTGACCTCATCTCCAAGGTCACAATTCCGAATTATGAACAAATTCTAACTAAAAGACCTGGAGAAAGAAAACTTTAACATAACTGAACAAGTTGTCTTTCTCTAACTCTCACAAGAAAATATACAAGTATTGTTCTTCTCTATGTCAGAGCTGCTTTGTTTTATCGTGTTTTGAAAAAGACATTTTTAAACTGATCATAATTAACTTCATTCCCTTTATTGAATAACAATTATTTTCATCGGGAATGTAAAATCTTTTATGAAGTCATGCCACCCTGAGCCTGAATTTGATACCAGCTGTGACCACACATTCTTACATTGGACTTTATAGTAGCATACCGCTTATGGGACAATTATAGTCCTACTGAGCCCCTTAAAGAACTCTGGAGTTATTTCTAAGGTCACAGCTGGGGTAGAAATGTCTTATTTCTATCAACAATTGTTGTATACATCTATATACAGGTATACAATTATTATTAGTTGTGCTAGGAGAATTCACTATAGAAATCACATTTTTTCTTTCCTTTTCTTCATCAAATGTTAAGATATATGGGCATTAGCTATTCATTTAATGGCTATTTCCAACACAATTTGTTCAAAACTGATGGTATTTAAAGAAGCATTGATAATAGATAGATTATCACATTCACTAAATGTGTTCTTCAAAGTTTTTTGAAAAGGGGGATGTCTTTTTATATGAAGTTACTATGTAGAATCATATCCTACGACTAGTAACGACACATGGAGAAGGTTTTTAAATCACCCAACAATGACACAGATAGATAGTGTGTCCTTTTTGGCATGTAAATAAGAAGTGGCATATGGGTAAGGGTGTGACATGTCCTTTATAGACAGTGTTCCATTATAGACAGGTAAATAACCTTGACAGTGACACAGGGGGACATTACCCTTCCTTTATAGAAAGTTCTCCATTATAGACAGGCAAATAACCTTGACAGGGACACAGGGGGACATGACATGTCCTGTATAGAGAGTTGTCAATTATAGACAGGTAAATAACCTTGACAGTGACACAGAGGGACATGACATGTCCTGTATAGATAGTTGTCTATGATAGACAGGTAAAAAACGTTGACAGTGTCACAAGAGGACATGACATGTCCTTTATAGAGAGTTGTCCATTATAGACAGGTAAATAACCTTGACAGTGACACAGGGGGACATGACATGTCCTTTATAAATAGTTGTACATTATAGACAGGTAAATAACCATTACTGTGACACAGGGGGACATGACATGTCCTTTATAAATAGTTGTACATTATAGACAGGTAAATAACCTTGACAGTGACACAGATTGGCATGACATGTCCTTTATAGATAGTTGTCCATTATAGACAGGTAAATAACATTGACAGTGACACAGGGGGACATGACATGTTCTTTTTAGATTGTTGTTCATTATTGACAGGTAAATAACCTTGACAATGACACAGAGGGACATTACACTTTCTTCATAGATAGTTGTCGATTATAGACAGGTAAATAACCTTGACAGTGACACAGGGGGGCATGACATGTCCTTTCAGATTTGTGTTCATTATAGACAGGTAAATAACCTTGACAGTGACACAGAGGGACATGACATGTCCTTTCTGATTGTTGTTCATTATAGACAGGAAAATAACCTTGACAGTGGGACAGAGGGACATTACACTTTCTTTTTAGATAGTTGTTCATTATAGACAGGAAAATAACCTTGACAGTGGGACAGAGGGACATTACACTTTCTTCATAGATAGTTGTCGATTATAGACAGGCAAATAACCTTGACAGTGACCCAGGGGGGCATGCCATGTCCTTTCAGACTGTTGTTCATTATAGACAGCTAAATAACCTTGACAGTGGGACAGAGGGACATTACACTTTCTTTATAGATAGTTGTCGATTATAGACAGGTAAATAACCTTGACAGTGACACAGAGGGACATGACAAGTCCTTTTTAGATTGTTGTTCATTATAGACAGGTAAATAACCTTGACAGGGACACAGGGGGACATGACAGGTCCTTTTTAGATTGTTGTTCTTTATAGACAGGTAAATAACATTGACAGTGACACAGGGGGGCATGACATGTCCTTTCAGATTGTTGTTCATTATAGACAGGTAAATAACCTTGACAGTGACACAGGGAGACATGACATGTCCTTTTTAGAAAGTTGTTCATTATAGACAGGTAAATAACCTTGACAGTGACACAGGGGGACATGACATGTCCTTTTTAGATTGTTGTTCATTATAGACAGATAAATAACCTTGACAGTGACACAGGGGGACATGACATGTTCTTTATAGGCAGACTTTCTTTGACAATATCACAATTGTTTTTTCTTCAATAACCAGTTGACTATGAAAATAAATTATAGACCAACAACATCTTCTGCGATATTTTTGTTCCTTGTGTAACATTGTGTAATAACATATACCTAGTCCATCTACACAAGATATCATATTCCTTGTTTGCATTGTGTATATATATATTAACATCTACAAACCCTTATCTATCTACATACATAGAGCTCATCATATCAAACCTGTACTACACTTTATTACCATAACAATAATATTATTTTAACATTGGTCAACATTTAACTTCCTCCACAGCCAAGGGATATACGGCAGAAAAACAAAACAAAACTGTGATTCTAGTGATTATAGCCTCAACCTGTTCATAATTCTCTGTTCCATCTCTTTCCTGTGTTTTTTGATAACTAAAGCCTGTGGTTTGGTGGAGATTTGCCAGAATGACTCTGAGCATCCGTTTACCTGCTAAGCTATACAGCAAGGCCTATTTTCCCCTCTGCCATGAGGCAGAAAACACGTGTATCTGTGCCTGTATGTACCAACCCCATGCCTACAATCACAAACAGGCAGCAGCTAAACACGGCCCTTTCATCTTCACATTGTGGAATGTGATGAAAGCCGTAGCAAATGCAAGATAGATGGAGAGAAAAAAACACAACAACTATAGGATGAAAACTGGTAGCTGTAGTGTTCCTTATCCAATGAATAAATTTGGTGTTGTATTACAAATATCCCGTATAAATATTGGGAATGACAACGGAGACATTAAAACTGAATACATATGATACACACGTAGGTACAGGGGACACAAGGAACACACATGGTGTGATATAGGTACACCGGTCTCTCTATCTGTGTGTACTCTAACCTTGATGTATATATAGAGAGGGGGGGATGCTCTGGTTCGCTGACTATCACATCCTCACCAGGTTATAGCATGGTAAACATGTATTTCTGAACATATAAATGACGGTGTATACTTGCCTGATGTATGTCCAGGTTATTCAGGTTGGCAGCAAGCTTGTGGAGAGCAGTTGAGGCTACACTTGGAGCCTCGGAGCTAGTCTTCCGCCCACTAAGTGATTCCATTATAGACTGTCTTCCTTTACAATGATCACAGATATATCGTATTCAGGTCAAAACTAGGTCGGAGTGAGAGTGGGTCATAAACTCTCCCCTTTGGCCTGAGGGGGTCAGGGATCGAAGAAACTGCTTAGCTCTTTTCCTATAGAGAAAACACATGCACTATCACACTAGCCCTGGCTGTATATTTTTTTACACACAATGAATCCCTAGAAGCTTGCCTCTGTATTCCAGAATGCTGTTTATACGCCTCTGTTTTTCCTTCTCAACAGTCGAAGAGCTAGCGAAAATCTAACTCAGCTCATCTGGAGTAGTGAAGTGGATACACAGATTCAAATTCTCTCTACTGTGGAGAGAAGTGCCTACATAGAGAACTAAATACTGCCACGCTTAGTCATAAATCCTTGTGCTGACTTTTTTTCCCTCCCATCCGTGCTCGCTGGTGGATAAAAAAAGTCCTCTGAATGTACTGTCTACCCTTGCAAGTCTTTTCAACAATAAAAACTGTCACTGCCAGAGGTAGACCTCTCTGTCAATACGGAGTGAGGTGGGCTCCAGTTACTAATTCTGTGTCCTCGGTCGCTGGGTCCGTCCGTATACAGTCCCACAAACTATCTGCGGACCAAGTCTATCCTCATCTCTAGTCGAAAGCCACGGATATGCCTGGATGAATTTAATATCAAAGGGCGAGTTTTAAGTGTTGGATAACACCAGCATACTTCATATCACTTCTCCCCTCATACACAATGTATTTAGTTTATCTACTTCAGGTAAACACCGACTACTGATGTACAATATATATATATATATATATATATATATATACACACCGCTAGATATTGTTGAGCTACAACAAAAACCGGATAGATAACTGTGCTATAGAATGCACTGATTCACTTGTTTATCGTTTCCCTCCTTACAACAACACTGCTCTCTTCATGAACTTGGTCCTCGTCGGAGAATTTGGACTATGTTTACTGTTAACTAGTTACAAAACCTTCCTCGGAGTAACAAACACTGCTATAATCCTCCCTCTAAGTAACAAATAGTCTGGGACGTAGTAACATTTCCTACTGGGTTTTTCCATCACACGCAGATAGCATCTTGACCCCGATTCAAGATATATATAATATCTCCACTCCCTATGTATATATATATTTAGCGGTCTTTCTAAAATGTTAATTCATCTATCTTAGGTGCTTATTTTCAAAACAACAGATGGAGGCCTTTCACCGAGTGCTTATTTATACTAAACCTTTCTGAACTGTCATTTTTTCAAAATTAATGTTGCAAAGGGAAAATCGTGAAATGCTGTATAATTAGATCAGTTTAAGATGAGATATAAGTCGAACTTACCAAGTTCATCAGAACAAGTCCGATATCGACACCTACCTATCTTTCAAAGAGTTTCAAAGAGTTTCATCTGAAGACAATTTTATTGAATTCCTCATTTTTGCACATCAATAAGCTTCACTTTGCACCAGCTTTTATAGATTCAAAACTACAGTGCTAATGTTACACCTACCTAATATCTATCAAATCTTGACTGTCACCTACCCTAGTCTAATTGCTGTCACAGGTAAGGAATTCTACAGGTGTGAACTCTATAGAGTATAATTACACCATAGAATTAATTATCTACCATTGAATTGTGTCTGCAGTGTAAAAATTGTCAATTACATTACATCTTCAAATTTCAAAATGAAAATACTGAAAATACAAGATTTTTTTAACATGAATATCAATCCGACCTTTGTGCACAGCATATTGTACCAAATAGGTATCACCTGTCTACAACGAACAGGTAAGATATCCAGATTAATCAGGAAATCTAATTTACAAAAAATTGTCCATTTCACTCTCTTTCTATCTCGGAATTTTCCAAAATTCCGAAGGATATCACGAACACGTGCACTTCATTCTGATGAGCTTTTCCTGTGCACAATGGCCAGCTCATTGATACATATCCATGATTTTACAATTGAAAATTTTCCCTAAATTTATAAAATCACTTCACTTACTCTTACATGAATTTTTTCATGAAAGAATCTCACCTATGTACACACTTGTGCTAATTGAGATTTACCTGTGTAATACAAACAGGTAAATAACTGCCCATATATGGAGTCAATTCGTGCTTGTCCCAACTGTGCTTTAAGACGATCACACAAGTCCAGTAGGGGACAGTGTCACCTGGTTTTTCGGTCGATCTTCGAGCTCAGGTGTTAAGGCTCCCCAGTGGTCTGAAGATGATAACGCCCCACGGCTGCTCGAAGCCCACTTTATAGCCTTGTAACTTAATTCTCAGTGTTAATCTTTAACATTAGGTTAATTACACAGTAATTAATTAACACCTCAGCCTAATTGGGCCTCCGTGTAATTGGACCGATCGTATTCCACACACACACCAGAAATATTTGCAGGAGGAATATTGTCTTTCAGATGATTACTTCCACAACTTTTCCATGGGACCTTAGCTTACTAACACTATCTTGTAAAGGCCTACAGGACCAAATTGTTCAAAGCACTGTCAGCTTTATATATCTTCATTTTTTTTTTAAACCTAATTTATCAAAATTTCTGCATTCTAATGTAAAGTTTAATGTTTCTAACTTTTCATATAGTTAGGTTGTATCCACCAAGAACATTTTAAAACTGTATTATATAAGAATTGCATTGATTCAGGCCATAAATATATCAGATGAAGAAGTGATGTTTACATGGTGTCAAGCTGTTAAGACACTAAACTTACTGCGTCTGCTAGATAGCCGATAACATAAATAAGATGGCGGAGCGTTATTTACCAGCTGAAACATCCCCAGGTAAAGCTGACCAGATAAAAGTTTACTATCAAAAGTCTGGACGGTTAACATTAATAAACTACCATCTTGCATGTGCTTGTCTCTTTAAAAATCGGTTGTTGTTTTTTAAATGTCTTGTATTCTGAAGGTCTGTTCTGTCTTTAAAAAGGTGTTGGTGTGTAAATTTGTCTTCTGTTGACATAAACAATTCAATGTAAACAAAATTTAAAACAGAAGTAAAGAAAGTATATAAGGTCTGAAGTTGTTCGTCTTGGCACCTGTTTACCAATACTCATAAATAACACCTACAGTTACTTAATGGCGAATACTCGTGTTTATAAAATGAGGTCTCTTTGGAGTTTTAAATATCCCCTGTCAATTCTTTTCCAGCAAAGTCTACAGTTTCACAAAAAAATATACACAAATTTGATCAGTAGTTAATATACAAAATAAAGAATAATAAAGATAAGTAGTTTTAAGGCTATATGGTACCTTTCAGACTATATACTCTTTACCTAAGATTTGTTAGAGTTATCTCCCTTTATATTGAAAGGGTTGTATGAAAATCTTTTGTTTATGAGGTAAAAGTGTCAAGTAATTTAGCATACATGTACATTTGACCAGATTAAATAAGTCAAGTTTTTGCTTATACAAAACTTTATTTGCTGCTCGCAGGAAGATTGTTTCAGTATCTATAAAACCTTGCATTAACAATTTACCAATCTTAGGAATATTCATTACTAAAATTAGGGAAATAATTAGGAAATTTTGGTTCTGGAAATGGGGCTATTTTAAAAAGAGGCTTTTTAAAGTGCTTCAAAATTTACTTCAAAATTATTTCCTGAAATATTAAATATAGTTTCAATATCACCAAAGGAAATTCATTTCTAAACTCGAAAATGTGTACAGGACAGAAATGCCCTCTTTGAACTGTGGTTGACCTATAAATAGCAGGTGACCTAGGGAATCTGAAAAATGACTCATCTGATGTATTTTCATACTCGACCTTTCTGTAAGCTTTGATGACATTCTGTTAAGTTGGTACATTCATGACAATGAATAAGAATAAGAATGAAACGGGAACAGGACTTGGGGGGGAGGGGGGGTGTTGCATAAAATAAATCCATGTTTTAAAGTAAATTGTGTAATGATGAATCAACATTTGTTACAATGAGTACGTTATTATCCAATTTTATCTAATCCTGTTCATCAACGAGTGATGTAATTTTGTAATGATCAACGAGTGATGTAATTTTGTAATCGTCAAGTATCATAAGCAATCAAATTTAATAGACAGAATAGACTTGTTTTGGGTGGGTTTTTGAAAGTATGTTGACCATACATAAAAGTGACTTTCATTTTGTGATTTGTTTTGTTGACAAACTTTCAAGTATTTTTTTCCTCTGAGAATTATATGTTGTATCTGGCTGGAGATCTGTTTGAGTGAGTAGGCCTAACAACTGTTTGGTGTTGTATACAATACGCTGGTATGTAACACGTGTGTGAAATAGGCCTCACATGAGGGTCGTAGAGGGAGGAGGGGGATGATGGTGGAGGGGGGGGTTACATAACATTACAATATAAACCCCCTCCCCCCCACCCCACCCCCATTCTAATCCTGCATCTAAATAAGTTAGTTTTCTAAGTAGTAAACTAGTTTCTATGTCCTGAGAAATATGACGCTAAACCAACTAATTATGACCCAACATTTTACCAACAAGTGTTTTGCTAAGAGAGACGATTTGATTAAAGAAACGGAAAAGCTAGTCTGAACATTTCTAGATTTTCTAATATAAAAGGACCATTTCTCAGACATAAAATAATTGTTTCCTGTCTCAACTTAGTTTTTATATTTTATAAACTAATTCAATCTCGTATTTAAACAGAATGATTCGGAGAATTCCAGGAACATTAATTTACCATAAAAAATATCTCATCAGACAGGCAGATGACAGAAAAATCAAAATTTGCGCACAAATATTAGAAAATACAAACCTTGGTCGTTTCCTTCTCTAGAGAAAATGATTGATTTTTGACCAAAATGTCCGTATTAATTTTCATAAATTTAAACCTGCATGCTTATTTGATTTCTATCCTAAATTTTTCAAGCTGTTTTATTCAACAATTAAAAACTATCCCATATTCATGTACCATATTTTACGCTACGTTTGAAATTGAACAACATTTTCTAAAAATAATATCGCAAACTAAGATAATCACGTATTTGGAAAAATACTTTAAACGGCTATAATATTTGGAGCTGAACTTAGGTAAACATGTATGTGATGTAAAACTGGGTATTTTTGGCTGGCACTTCTAACAATGGTAAATTGGCTTGGTACAAGAGAGTTCTACAGAAGGTGGGTGAGGCTTAGATGGCAACAGATCAAAGCTTCCATGAGTCAGATACCATTGTTGTGGTTATCCTTGGAATAGGACTTTCTATCTCAGAGATTTTACACCTATCACTTTCTTTGTTTACACCTACAGTTTTCTGTCTATTATTATAAAGTGAAACCTTGCTATACTGTCACCACTTTACAGTAAAACCTTGCTATACTGCCACAATTATATTTAAACCCCCGTTATACTTCCACATTTATAGTTAAACCCCTTTAAACTGCCACCACTTTACAGTAAAACCTTGCTATACTGCCACAATTATATTTAAACCCCCGTTATACTTCCACATTTATAGTTAAACCCCTTTAAACTGCCACCACTTTACAGTAAAACCTTGCTATACTGCCACAATTATATTTAAACCCCCGTTATACTTCCACATTTATAGTTAAACCCCTTTAAACTGCCACCACTTTACAGTAAAACCTTGCTATACTGCCACAATTATATTTAAACCCCCGTTATACTTCCACATTTATAGTTAAACCCCTTTAAACTGCCACCACTTTACAGTAAAACCTTGCTATACTGCCACAATTATATTTAAACCCCCGTTATACTTCCACATTTATAGTTAAACCCCTTTAAACTGCCACCACTTTA